GAGGGTGGAGACGAGGGCGCGGGGGTGACGCGGCGGGAGGCGACAAGAAGCGGACACGCGAGTGGCGGTGGCGGTGGCGGGGCGACGGACGCCAGCCGAAAAGGCGATCGAATCTAGCGGGGTGACGCCTGTGACGACGGCCGAGCCACCCCCACGCCCCGCCAGCTCACTGCCACCCCACCTACCCCCCGGCCCCTCGCCTCTCCCCTCACCGCCCCCGGTACGCACACCCCACGAGCTCCATCCACCTCCTCTCCACTTTCGCTTCCCAAACTCCGTCGCCCGATTCAGCAAGCAAAATGGCCATGGAAGCAGCTTGCGGTGCGTCCACCAAAAGCAGCACCAACATTTCACAGTGTCGTCGACTGGTCGCGTGTGATTCTTTACAGGATGGAGCGATCATTTCCCCTTTTCCAGCATGACGCGGGCAGTGAAAAGAACGCTTCTTTGCTTTGCAGCACAATCTTCCTCACACCTCGACTCGAGTCATCTAGCTTCTCCCCCCTTTCCAAATGCATTGTGTACAGGTTCACTCCTAGTAATATATATAGCAGTAAAACAAAGAAGAAACAATGGTGACCAAAGCAAGGCAAAAAAGAATCGAGCTCAGCAAGGAGACGGCAATGGACGGACTAGCTCACCACCGGATCTCATACCAGAGGCAGCAGTGCTGGTAGTACATACAACAATGCTATACACCACCGCCCAGTTGCCGTTGCCTTTGCCGCCGACGACGACGGCGGCGAAACCGCGGTGCCGTTCCTGGCCCCGCCGCGCAGCGCGGGGGGCGAGGACAGCTTCGTCGGCGGCGTCCGCGCGCTCTCGGGCGGCTCCGGCGGCATCGAGCTGGCGGCGGCCGGCGGGGGCGCCAGGGCCGCGGCGACGACGGCGGCCGAGTCGGCCCTGGTGAACATCTCCTTGGGGAGCAGCACCTTGGAGACGGCGAAGACGGCGACGGGGTTCTGGTCGAAGACGGTGCGCGTGATGGTGGCCTGCACGACGCCGGTGTCGATGGCCACGGAGCCCTTGGAGCGGGTGATGTTGAGGGTGAAGCGGCCGGCCTGGCTGGCGTACTCGGTGGCCAGGGTCGGCTGCAGCGGGTTCACGATCGACTCCAGCGACCCCAGCGGGTAGTAGGAGTGGAGGACGTGGAAGCGGAGCACCACGGCCTTGCGGTCGGCGGGGAGGGACTGGAGCCGGTCGCCGGCGGGGAGGCTGGCGAAGGCGTCGTCGGTGGGGACGAACACCGTGATGCCGGCGCCGCGCTCGTCGCCCTCGAACTCCTCCGCCACGCCGGAGGCCTCCAGCATGGACGCCGCCACGTTGAACCCGCGCGCGTCGGCGAGGACGCGGGTGATGTTGACGGCGGCGGGGGGGCGGGACTCGGAGGCCGCCAGGTCGAAGCCGGAGGGCGCGATGAGGCCGCCCACGGCCAGCACGCTCAGGTTGTACGGCACGGAGGTGACGGAGCCGAGCACGGTGGCGTTGGACCCGGGGAAGGGCGCGGGCGAGCGGACGACGCCGAGGCCCGGCCCGGCGGCCGTGACGTTGACGGCGCCGAGGTCGGCGGAGGCGCGGCCGGTGGTCTGGAACAGCGTGGTGACCAGCTTCCCGGCGGCCGGGAGGCGGCGGAGGTCGGCGGGGGAGAGGTACTCGAGGAGGACGTGGTAGCGGAGCACGTCGGCGAGGTCGGCGCCCGCGGCGGCCGCGAACGCCGAGGGCGACTGGGGGAGGTCGGCGTTGGGCACGGCGAGCAGCGTCAGCGAGGACCGCCCGGCCAGCTCGCGGGCCACGGGGCTGGAGGCGAGCAGGCGCGCGAAGCCGGCGAGGTCGGGGAACGGGGCGAGCACCGCCTGGACGTCCACGGCAGCCGCACCCGGCGCCCACGCCAGCAGCAGCAGCCCGGCCACCGCCGCAAGCACGACCAGCCGGCGGGAGATCTGCCCCTGCCCCCGCATCTCGCCGCGCCGCCGGGAGCAGAGCAGCGACTCCACTGACCCGAGGAGTGAGGCGAGCCCGAGATGCGGTGGGGGTGGGGGGTGGTGAGCCTGAGCCGAGCCGAGCCCCCGAGCGGAGTGAATATTTCCTCCGCGCTAGTAGTATTTTTTTCTCAGCACAAAAATCGCGGCCGACTGCTAAACAACTGGGGGGTTGGGTTCAGTGCGGGGGAGGTGCAAAGCCTTTGTTGCGCGCGTTGAGATTCGCGTTTTGTGGAAATTGATGGCGGGTGGGTGGGTCTGGACTCTGGAGTAGAGTGGAGTGTAGCAGAGGCTCCAGCGAGGAGCTGGACTGGACTACACTGCCAGCCAGTGACCAAGCTCCCATGCACACGGCACTATTCGGGAAAAGGCCCGCAATGATGGCGGGCCCGGGCGCGGCGTGGGTCCCGCTGTCATGCTCGGGTTTAATTGCGCACTGTTGTGGCTCTGTGCGGTAATGGTAAGTTTATGAAAACAGGTGCAGCGTGGATAGAATCTTTTGCGGGCCCGGGTGCTGATGAGATACTAACATGGGACGAGCGCGAGTACTCTGCCTGGATAAAAACAGTTTATGAAAGGAGTGAGTAGCTTTGCCGTAAAATGATTTTGATGGAGTGGCTTTGCCGTCGAATGATTGAGGGCGGCTAAGCTTTACCGCGAATTGATTTCGCTCCAAAGTGCCCGCAAAAGCACGCAAGCGAGCGGTGTATGCTATCAGCTTGATATAAGATCGTATAGATAGAGCTGTATTGGAACCGATCAAGCGTGATGGAAAGAATGTTTCTCACCCGGGGGACCAGACCGGAGCGGCCATTCAAATCCTCAATGTAGTAAGTACTGACTTGCTGTTACTAACTCTTATCTCATCCAGAGGGCCTTGTTTTGTGTTGGAATGCAACAACTCAGAAAGACAAGAATGGCAGATAATGCGTGCTTAGAAAAGAAAACAAGAAAAATGTATTGTGTGATGATTCGGATCAAAGTTAGAGCTGATGGTTTTAATTCCTACGCCCTCGCCAATGCGTCTACCGAGGATGCAAATTCCGGTGACGATACGTTGTCCCTTTGGAATTTCTTCTAACAAAACGGGCCCTTATATATTCCTCCGGAACTGTTTCGGCTAAAGGCTTTTGTTCTTTCAAGACTAGCTACAGTCTGTCTGCCTAGATGGATGGAGAGAGATCTTGGATGGAGGGATGAAACGGGGCATGTGAGAGAAGTGTCAGTACGAAAGAGTGGACCAGCCATTGCCATTGCCATTGCCATTGCCATACCTTTCCGCCATGATGAGCCGCGCCTAATCGCCTGCGCCATTCACAAAAGTCCGTAGTAGTATCTGTGACGCCACCTGTTCTCTTGCCTCTTCGGAACTAGGCTGGAGCGTACCCCTCGCCAGCAGCGACGCGCCTTGTTACCAATAATAGAAAAGAACTGGGGGAAAAGCGGTGCTCCAAATGACTATACCAGCCCGATTTCAAGAGAAGGCTATTCAGGTGATTTTGGTTCTCTTTTTCTAGTCCCAACTAAAAAGTCCCTAGTCTCTAAAAAGTCCCTTCCTATTTGTTTTCAGAGACTAAAAAATCCCTAGTCCCTTTCTAGAGGTTATTAAATGACCATGTTGCCCCTAATATATAGAAAAATAGCAGTCAAACAATACCATGGGATGGCGGGCCAATGGGTGCATGGAGGGGCATTGTTGGAAAAGTCTTAAATAGTCCCAAAAAGACTTTTCTTGAGAGTCTTCTTCATTTAGTACCAAATGCTAGTTTAGTCCCTAAAAAGTCTCTCCCTTTGGTAAAAAAAGTCTCTAAAAGAGACTTTTTCTAGCCCCTACACGAAAAAATCTCTGCAAACAAACACCCCCTCGGCTCAGCTGCTCTCCCTTCGCCAGGGCCTTGTCGTTTCACAGGAACGGGCAGGGCTCCTTCCCCAGATTCCCAGTCCCTATCAACGGCCCTCCCTGTGCATGTGAGGCGCATGTGAGGCGCATTCAGAGATCAAACCTTTGCTGCTGACACTGCTGCCAGACTTGAATGTTCGGCCCTACAGCACAATGGAGTGCTCAGCATAGACAAACAAGATATATATATATATATTGCTGTAAACATATTTGTTTTAGAAAACAAGGGTTTATTACCTACTCAACTGATCAGCTGATCATGCACCAATTGATGGTTGGATGCAGTAAGCACGCAGGCAACAAGAAGATATTTTGGCTGTACGGTGACAACGCAAGAATCAAGTAGCACAATGCAATTTCCAACGTTTGCTCCATATTGAGATACTGGTTAAGTGCCAGACCAAAGTTACAACAGAGGGGGATAAGACCCCGCTAAACAAGTCTGAAACAATGCCCATTTCTAGAGCAAGAGGGGAAAGAGTTAGATAACAAATTTACAGTGTTTGCCTTCCATCAAAATTTGTGTACGACAACGAAATTCTAATGAGCCATGTACAAGGGGGGCACTACTGCACTAATCTGTCTGGAACTTCATAAGAGGAGCTCTATAGGTGTCAGATGGATCTACTGGTATGTGTTAGATCTAATCGCTGTATGGTTAGCAGCAAGATGGTCTAAGACTAGGGAATCTGAGGCATCCCTGTTTGGCACAAGCTATACATAAATCAATGTACAACACCCTGTCAGGTATGCTTGCAGGTGAGGTTGAATCGCCACCGCACAGTACACGGAGAATGAACAAATCATACCGCGTGCCAGAGAAATACGTTAGTTTGCTGAGATGCTGATACTATCTAGTGTGTAGTATGGGTTTCGAATGCGTTGTTTTGTTCAAGCGGCACATGCAGTCAGGACATGGAAATGTGTATATCGATTCATTTGGTCTTTTCATCTCGACCCCTTTGGCATCACTGTGTGCTCTCATGTTGAGCAAGTGACGTTTCAATGACTTCCATCTGCATAAAAACGACAAGGCATGACTAAAAGACTACAGAGATGAAGAATACGAGTCGTAAATGCTTAAGCTCTGAACAAAAATGAACTAAGGGTGGTCCAGCGTATTACCCGATACGTGGATTATCAAAGAGTATGGCCAGCCTTCTTTTGTCTGGCTTAATTGTCTTTGAATGTCCACCATACAAGTATCTTCTGTGTCCCATCAGAAAATGAGGGAAATTTCCACCTTGTGTGGTCACAAAAACTTCACTATATGTGCAAACACTATAGTCTAGTGCAGCCATCCTTGAGGAGTAATTCTGGCAACAATGTGTCGTTTTAGAACAATGCCCATATGATGAAATTCTAAAGCTTACAGCTGACAAGACAAATACCTTAAATGGAGCAAGTTCCTCATCTGATGCTAGTGTTTCTTTTGTCTGTAGAAGAGGAAACATTTCAAGAAGAGGAGCCATGGTTTTCTCTGATTTGTATATCTTTCCAGAGGCCAAATAAATTGCAGTCTTATTGCTGAAACCCATCCCACGAAGCATTAATCCAACCTAAAGGTCATGTAGCATAAACATGTAGATCATCAAGACCCTAAACGGAAAATAGTCTTACTAGACGAAAGAAACTGGGCAGAGCATGGACTAATAAAATGTGCTGAAGAAATAAAGAAGTCAAGAGTTTCACTAACATGCATGCTAACAGTGGTGAGCATCTGTTTTCATATTAGATGCAGACATACCTCCAAAGGTGTAAGTGGACATTTCCCGTTCATTCTTATAACTCCTGGCCTTATTACCTTCCCTCTCTTTGTAAACTTCCCTCGCCAACCTATTTCTCTGGCCACATCCATTTCCTTCTTCTCCTCGTCACCACCATCATATACACAACATGAGAAGGCAACCATATCCTGCAAGACAACAAATTAGTAGATGCCTCCAAATTTTCCTAACACCAGAAAATAGTGAATCCCAAGTTCCAAATAATATTAAATAATCTTCACGAAGGAAATCAAACCTCCTCAAAACGAAGATGCACTGCGATATATTTCCCATTGCTTTCAGCACTTTTTTCTCTCATTCGAGAAATTAAAGTCTCCGATAGAGTAGCAATTGGGTTTGAAAATTTTAAAGCTTCAAAATTCACCAAGCATCTCAACCGTTGAACAACAGGTGGGGCATCGAATGAGAGTCGGTTTGCAAAAGGAGAAATTCGGATCAATCTGTAGTCCAGAACAAAGTATAACTTCAGGAACAATCGCATAATAATAAAAGAAGCACATTATCATATTTTAAATCTGAGATATCAAGTGTAATCACTTCTTGAGGTGCTACGATGCAATCAAACTTTGATTCGAGGGACCAAAGCAACATTAAATTTCTGATAAATAGTACTCCCTCCGTAAACTAATATAAGAGTGTTTAGATCACTATTTTAGTAATCTTAACGCTCTTATATTAGTTTACAGAGGGAGTAGTCTATAAAGTATTCAAGCCACCTCTAAAATTGCAGATTCAAAATGAAAATGTGTTTGAAGAAACAAAAAAGAGAAGTTTAGCATGAATAGCAGCATTTGCCTTTCCCTTTTTCCTTCTGAATTGTCTTTTCCCATTTAGCAGAACGAATTTCACCTTGAAATATTAGACATGGGTAGTGTACATTCA